AGGATGGCAAAGTAGTGTCCCGCTTCATGGTTTGGTCCCCGATGGCAGATCAGCGCTGCCGGGACAAACTCCGTGGATGCTCTGGCAAATCCATCCATGGATCGGGGTACCGTGAAGGTGCCATATGGGTTCAGGACCTTCTTGTGCTTGGTGGCGACCCCGTCAACAGTGGTGTTGCGGGTGATGTGGGTGACCAAGATGGCTTTGTCATCGAGCAGGTATTGTCCAAGGCCTTCATTGGCCCATCCATTCATCAGGGATTGGACTGTGGTGTTTTCAGGCCAGTCTTGTGGAAAGTCAACCAGCAGCGGAACTTGTACATGATCTGCAAGGTAGCCCCCAGCCTTGATCTCCGCGTAGCGGTAATGGAAGGCTCTGCTCTGGGACAGGTTCCAAAGTGTGTTCACGAAGTGATTGGCGTCCCCTTGGACATTGAGGTCATGTTTTGTCCAGAGGCGATGCAATCCCGGCAGCTGTTGGATGTCCACTGCTTCTGCCAGTTCGAGTGACTCTTGAACTGCTGCGTGCAAAGTGCCCCAAGGTTCGGTATGCGTCTCTTGGAGGAGCCCGCATGTCCATGTGAAAGCTCTCCATGGTGCATTGGCATAACACCGAGAGCTGGGATTTCCGATGGCCATGGACAGGTTTTGGAGTATGCACTCTGTTGTGGATGCATATGTGTGTTGCATCCTGGGTTGTCTTCCTGTCTTGGCGTACTTGTTCTGGTTGTGGTTGGCTCCACCCTTGATGGCAATGATGTGGTCTCCAGGTGCCCCGCTGGAGAGTCCATCCACAGGTGTGGCCGGTGCGGTGGTACTAACAAAACTGTGCATCTGCATGTGGGATGCCTGTGTTCGCAACATGTTGGTGGTATCCCCTGCACCAAATGTTGTCTGCCCCTCTGTTTGCAAAATTTGTTCCTTCCTGTCAAAAGGTGACTTGTCCCCTGCACCTTGGAAGGAAATCCCTGACTGGATTGAGCCGGATGCAGCACGGCAAACCGGTGATTGGTGTGATGCCTCGAAATCTTCCCAGGGAATTGGCACCTGAAACGCTGGGAGGTGAAGTTCGAGGTGGGGACTGTTACCCACACTGTGTCCCTGGTAGGGTGGGTGTGGATTCAGTCTTGCGGCGCTTGTGGATGTCCTCATCATCAGTCTGTGGTCGTTTGAGGAGTCCATGGAGTTGTGTCCGCTGATCTTCTGTCAGGTCGATTCCCAAGCTGGTGACAAAGGTTTCAACTGCCATAGGAATGGGTAAGTCCTTGGTGTTCTCACCCTCGAGTCCTTCAGGCATGGGAGTTTGGGTGACCTTCATGTACTGGTCGGACAACTGCTTGAGTTTGGTTTGGCCATCAGTCAACTTCGTTTGCAGGTCCTGCATGTCCTGAAGCATAGCAGCATACTGTGACTTGATCTGGTCCAAACGAGACTGGAGTTGTTTTTTTTGATTGATGCCGTCTTCAATTCCCCTACTTGTGCCTTCAGCTTGTTGGCCAGCTCTTTTTCCGTGTCGGGCATGGGCTGAGTCAGTTTCGTGACTACGGCCTGCACCTCTTGAGGGAGAGCAGTCATGTGGCTCTTAAGAAGCTCCGTGAGCTCAGGTTCTTCAGGAGGAGGTGGGCCAAAGCCTAGGGCTGCAAGCTTGGTCTGGATGGCCTCTGGGATGACGCTCCATGTACTGGCAATGAGTTCAACAGCTGAGGCCTGCTCTTTACTGTGCTTGAGAGGACGTAGCCGTGGTAGTCCTGGAGGAGTGTCCAGTGCCTGAGTAGCGGCTTGCTTTCGAGGCCAGGGCTGAGCCTTGTTCGGTGCTCGAGAGTGTCCATGGCCTTGTCCTTTTCCTTTGCCTGTGGTAGCAGGTTGCTGCCACCAAGAGCCGCATTTCCTGCAGCGAGTGCCGGCACGGAGCTTGTCCTCCCAGATCCAGTTGCGGCATTCTGCGTGCCTGCAGGTAATGTAGGCTCGGCCCCAAAGTGGCGTCATAATGCAGGATCTGGTGCAGTTGTTTGGCGTCCAGGTAGTCAACCAAAAAGGCAGACTGGGTGGCACCGAGCACGTTCAGGCCGGTGGATTCCTCAGGGCAGAAGACCAATCACCAGGGGATCCACCAAGAGGGAGCCAAGCGAGCCCTGCCAGGCACCGTAGGGGATTTCAAGGGAGTGCTCGATGAAGTCGAGGATTGCGAGCAAAGAATGTGATGTACACGAACTTGCTCAGGATCGCGGTGTGGAGGTAACCGGGGGATATGTGTGTAGCGAGTTGGGTTGTCCACACTAGGGCGATTTCAGGGGACGCCCTTGAGCACTCATGTCTTGAGCCCTTGAGCCAAAATGGCTACAGCTTGAGCCATGTATGTATGTATGTATGTATGTATGCATGGATGGATGGATGGACGGATGGACGTGCGGCTGTAGAAACTCTTTGTTCAATCTTATGCCATCATACAGATTGGAGGACCCCATCGCGTCCCTCAGTTGTGGACAAGTTTATATAGACTTCAGCTTGGAAGGGAGGCATCGCTGGCTTGTAGTCAGTAAAGGCAGACAGCTCCAACCAAACAAAATCAAACAACTGTATGTATGAGCACGAGCACTTAAAGCAGACAAACAAACAAGCTTCACTTGAGTGGCAAAGCTTGGAAGAGCAGCTAAGAGCATGCACCAAGCTGTTACCACAACATCTGTATTGGTTGCAAACCAACCCATGTTTAAGTGGGCTAGCATGATCGAGGGTATCGTTTGGGGTATTGTTTGTGCATCGCTAAGGGTGTCGATTCAAATTTGCGAGTTTGGGCCCCACGGCAGATAAGAAGCTCTTGAAAGAAAATACACTTGGACGATGTGAATCCGTCATGTTCTGGTAGGGCATCGCTTTTGGGGGGGCCCATCAACTCCCTAAGTTTTTACCCAATGCTATGGGTCTTGCAAAACTAATAGGCGGACGGACGCCGTCGGGTCACCGTCAAAGCTGGTGGGCGGATGGTGTCCCGGTCATATTTTGCGGGTCTCCCGTTCATGTGATGCTGGTGTCCGGGTCATGTTTTGACGGTGTCCCGGTCATGTTTTGATGGTGTCCCGTTCATGTGATGCTGGTGTCCCGGTCATGTTTTGATGGTGTCCCGGTCATGTTGTGACGGTGTCCCAGTCATGTTTTGATGGCGTCCCGGTCATGTTGTGATGGTGTCCCGGTCATGTGTTGATTGTGTGCCGATCATGTTTTGATGGTGCCCTGGTCATGTTGTGATGGTGTCCCGGTCATGTTTTCATGGTGTGCCGGTCATGTTTTGATGGTGTCCCGGTCATGTTGTGATGGTGTCCCGGTCATGTTGTGATGGTGTCCCGGTCATGTTGTGATGGTGTCCCGGTCATGTTTTGATGGTGTCCCGGTCGTGTTGTGACGGTGTGCCGGTCATGTTTTGATGGTGTCCCGGTCATGTTTTGATGGTGTCCCGGTCGTGTTGTGACGGTGTCCCGGTCATGTTGTGATGGTGTCCCGGTCGTGTTGTGATGGTGTACCGGTCCCGTTGTGATGGTGTCTCGCTCATGTTGTGACGGTGTTGGTGTCCCGGTCATGTTGTGATGGTGTCCGGATCATGTGATGTGGTGTCCCGGTTATGTTGTGGTGGTGTCCCGGTTATGTGATGATGGTGTCCAGGAAGAGATGGTCGATGTCTTGAAAACAGCAGCTGTTTCCAGATTTTGCTGTTTGTCCCGGTTTGTATCTTGCTATTAGGGTCTCCAGCTGGGCTAATTGCAAATTCTCAAGGATTGAAGGCGGCTCACATCTGCTGTTCAACATACCGTGTTTTGACGGTTGCTCATGTGTGTCCCAGAAAAATATCAACTTCATGTGAACTTTGGCCAAGACCGCAATGGTTCAGCATTGAGACCCTTCGGCCCTTCGGAACAAAAAAGAAAAACTTTTGCAAAAGCATACATAGACGTCGGATGCGTGTGACTCATGAGGTGAGTATTGGTCCTGCCTTGACCCGACGAACCCCTTGGCAAACGTGAGAGCAGACTAGTAGACTGTAGTAGACCAGTGAGAGAAAAAGGGATTGGGAAGAACATGCAGAGGAAGAATGCGGCTCAATTGCTGGATGGAGGCGTCTGCTCGCGAACAGCCATTCCCACGAATCCCTTGATGCACGTGAAAGAGTTAAGTTAGACGTTTCCTTCTGCCAAGCACATCAACGTGTGGAACATAAAAGAAATGGCCCGTGGCACGTGGCATGTCATTTGCTGATTCATTTCACCATGACTTCTTTGCGCGGCCCTTGTTTGAGCCCAGACTTGCCACAGAACGTAACATGATCCATCACAGTAGGTATGGCTGTCAAAGGCTTCATGTTCTGTGTTGTACCAATACCTTTCTATGCTTTTACTAGCTTTCTAGCCGTGTCAGCCCATGTCGGCCAGCATGGAGCACCTCTTTGGCCTGGCAGGCTGCCGCAACATCGTTTGCCCAAGCCTTCGGCACCTCCAAGTCGAACGACATCAACATTGTTAGATGCCACCATATACACACCGTGTTTCGCTTATATATTTTTCAATTGGGGGGTAGGCCGTAGTAGGCTAAAGTACAGTAAGCTAGTAGCAGGAAAGCTCAGGCTTCTTCAATCAAGGAAGCTCCGGAGCTTCTTGAAAGAAGCCATCGCACTGTTCATTTAGTTCCGAGGCATTTATTTTACATTCAAAATTGTATTTTGTTTCCAACGGTGCTTTTACAAATTCATTCAACTTCCAGAGCACGCGCAGGGGCGACATGTCGCACACCACTGTCTTTGCTTTCAGCCTCAGAACCAACACCCGGTGCACCCACTGCAAATGATAAAACATATCTCTGTTGTCTGGTAAGTGGTCGCAGCCTAGAACAAAAGGATATTGAAAACCCTCAAAACGCAAAATCAACTTTCTGCCGAAACGCTGGTCAACAAGCGCAGGAACTTCTTCTGCGGCCTCTCAAGGAGGGACTCTGACTACAATTTTTATCATGTCCTCAGTGTCTTTTTACAAAAGCATGTATGTCTGGGACCAAAGGCTCCTTGCCCAGCTTGAGGTGAAATGGACTCGGAACGAAATCAAGTGCGCAGCTTGCTTATATACGATATAATTGCTCTTTGTCCTTGCCCAAACTACTTCCGGATATCTTTGTCTCATTTGGTCTTCCTACCTTCCTTTTGTGTCTCCTGTGGGCATCTGCCTGTTTATTTGGTGTTTGTCATGGGCTGAGCTTGCTATTCTCGTCTGCATGTGTCTATTCTTGCAGCCCGTTGTCGTTTACCTTCATGTTCCTACACTATGGCCATCGCAGGATTCTTCACCCCATTCCCGCGAATTCCTTCAGACATTGAAGAAACCTGCAAGCATCTTGCGTAGAACTGGTCGTGACTCGTAAGCATTTGCTTTTGCTCTCTTTCTTTGGACTGATCTTGCATGCATCCGTTTCACTTGGTAAGTTGCTGAAGTGTATTTGAATGACCGCGAAAGTGATGCCTAGCCGTTGTAAACTCGGCATGTATTCTGGTGGGCCGATGACTAAGAACTGCGCAGCTAGGTGGGATTATCTAGTGTGGACTGGCCAACGTATTGGTATCCGGCAATGAGCGGCTTTCAAACTTGTATACAATGCAAAAGTGCAAGTAATTGGCCTACTCCATTTGACAACGGGTTACTTAGTAAATGCACATACACGGGCGCCGAGCTCTCCACATATTTTTGGAGCGAAGGGCTTCAGCTACCTCTTAGAGAGCAAAGCACAATCCATCAAGATTTATGTACTGTACTGTATGTCAAGAAGACATGTGCTCAGCTCGATGCTTCTTTCAATCCCTTGAGCAGGAAGTCAAACCTCAAGCTGGCAATGATGAACTCATTGTCAGGAGTCTAGCTTGCGGATCAGCGTCTGTCGAATCGTTGCATCCAAAAACTTTGGCACCAAACAAAAGACCACCTGGCAATGAAACGTCTTTGACAAAGACCGGAACAGGCGTGATATTTTGCTGGAAAATGCGCCAGAACGTCATGAAAACCAACTGACCTTGGCCCAATAACATGTCATGTCAACTCGCCCACAGTCGCCAACAAGAACGCAGTGTCCACGAGCAGGGCAACTCATGGTCAACTCAGTGAAGTGAGGGGACTCTGAAAAAAAAAAATCGACTCCTAAGGGGAGCGCCTTTGAATTGCGAGCCTCAAGTGACGTGTGTTCTGGCTAAGAAATGCCGAGGCTTAGAGGTTCGGCTCCAGCGAGTTTCTTGGCCCCCAGCTTCTGAGCATAAAGCAGCGCCCAATTGTCTTCGCAACCTATATGTCTATACAAAGAGAATCTGCGAGAAGAACTCCACTTTGGAAACTTTGGAACACAAAAGCGGTCTCAGGGTGTAACATCTCGTCTCAGCTGCCAACGCTGAGGAGCCAACGCTGATCTCGCGACATCCAGTATATAACGTCACCTGGTCCCTGCTCGCAAGCGGCTAAAGTGCACGGTAGGCACCTTGTTCACACACTGCTTCCCTCTGCGGTCCACACAGCTGGCCTCGTTCATTGGCACTTTGTTCAATTTTCTGCACCGGCGTTTGTCCACACCTGCAAGCGCTCAACTCGTGATCGGGTCAAGATCAATTGGGTAAAGGTGCAGGTCAAAAGCCCTGTGGATCTGATGCAAACCATCAACCACTGTCACATCTGCAGCGCTGCCAGGCATACTCGCCCTGAAGAGTGGGAGGTCCAAAACAATCCCAATTGATAGATCATCTGACAAGCACGCCCAGCAGGCAAGGCTCGCACGGCTCGCCGACCTGGATAAGGGTCAAATTGACTGATAGGAAACCCGGGAAACAATTTCAAAACGCAGAAAGCAAGAAGACTTGAATCAGATTCAATTGAGAACAATTTGGGCATGTTCAACATCGCCTCGGAATGTACAAATGGCAGCTGCGGCTTTAAACCCTGAGGCTCATGAGGTGCACGCGTGTTGTCTTGCATCAAGAAGGCCCCGTATGGTATGGCACACATCATAGTGACGTATATACAGTAATTGAGGCATGGTGTGTCGGCCTCGCAGTGACAAGTTGAAGCTGGAGGCTGCCTTGGCTTAAGGTGACGGGTGATGATGAGTATCACTTCTTTTCATTGAGAACCCTGCAAAAGCCTTGGGATTGACAAAAGTAGGCGGAGAACTGGATCCTGGCAGCATTGGACGTTCGTTCACTTTCTTCTTGCTGCTAACTTGGAAAGCAGGTAGCTATTGAAACCGGCACAAAATGAAGGAAAAGCTTCAAGGGTTGAGGCTTGCGGTCGCACTTTTTTGCTCAGGTCAACAGTCGGCTCACTGCTTCCTGACTCACGCAAAGAGAATGCAGGGTTGCCTGCTGTGAATTGAAAACGGCACCCCCACATGCTTTAGTTGGAAGCCTCAACTCTCAAACGGCGGATGAGGGCTTTTTTGCAGTCTCCTGCTTTCTCTTTCCTCAGAAATTTCTGATAGAAAGCGAAGTTGTTGTAGATTGTTGCTCAAATAATCACTCTGAGGCGTCGCTCCTGGTTCCAACCAGGAACTCCACATCATCGGCCTAGCAAGGCCGAGTCTGGCTTTTTGCATCTTTTGGTAGGCATACGTTCTTTCTGTCAACATGTGTCTCTCAATTCTCATGGCCTTGACCTGGAGGCTTGCGGCCAGCAAATTGGCCAGCTCATAGTTCCTCAAGGAGAACAAAATTTGAGCTTTCAAAATATGCTCTCCCCCCAGCGGCCGCATAAACACAAATTCATTCACTGAGTTTGTGCCACTGCTAACATGCTATAGCAAATGTCAGGTCACTCTGTGTTCTTCGAAGAAGCTAAATCAATGCCTCAGCGAAAGAAAAACATGTCAATTCTGGACTGAACAAGAATATATCAATGATAAGTTGTCAACAATCGCCTCAGCTCCGGGCAAATGCTGCCAGCATTGCTGACCCGGCGCAGTTCAGACAGGTTGGTTATCTTTGATGTTTTCACCTGCATCAGGGCTTGCCTAGATATATAACCACCACCGCTGCTACGATGTGATCACTGTATCTGCTCAAATCAAGGCTGCCTGGGGGCCACTGATTGGTTTCAGCGCAACCCTAAACACACTCTTATGCTCTTTTGCGTCCTTCTCAGCTCGCACCCAGCCTTCTGCCCAGATCTCACACTGAGCAGCAGCAAGGTTCCTTCGGGAGTGTCAGAGGCCCACGCCCCTTGCGCCCCTTGCGCTGTTGCTCTTTGCCCCTGGCAGTCGACATGCAAAGAAATTCAAACAAAAAAGCCAAGTCCTCGACATGCAATGCTGGCTGCACATGGAATACAGCGTCGCGCATCTTTGTGGATTTTGTGTTCCATCCAGAAAGCCATGACCGGCCAACAAATGCCAGCTAGGTCGTACATCAAGGACCTGTTCTTCAAAAGGCCCGCTTTGCAAGGAATCTGCTTCCTCGTATTCCTGAGGCTGAAGCGCTGTCTCGGCGGACCACACAATGAAAGCAATCCCCGCCTTCAAGCCTGCCTCTGAAGCTACCTATGCAATCAATAACTATTTAGGTCGAGAGCATTGTCAAAATCAAGGCCGGCGAAGGCAACACAACAATTCTGGCCTCAGGCACAGCAGATATAACCTGGAAAACACACTCTTGGCCCATCAAGTCTTTTGCAATGGCTGCCAAACCTCAAAGCACCGACGAGTCGAGGTGCTAGGCACTCCGCGTGACTTGGTCTAAGGCTTCCACCTTCTTGCACTTGGGCAGCTTGTGTGCCACGCAGCCTCTGTATGGCCCATCCAGCCCCATCCAGCCCATGTCCATCGGTGAGTAAAGTCTGACGGGCCTCTCTGCAGTGAAGGAGGGGCAACCTCATACAGTAGCAAGCTTGTCAGAATCCATCACACAAGCAACTCATTGTCCTGCCTGACGAAGGGTAATCAACTGGCAAGCAAACCAACAATGGCCCCAATGGCTGGCATTGAACTCGGAATGATGCTCCCACCTTTCTGCCTTCAAACAATTGCGATGACACAATGCGACACTGAGTCCACGTTGCATCTTAGTTAAGGCCAAGCCTTCTTGAGCTTCATCCACCAGCTGAAAATCATCCGCAAAAATCGCCTTCGAAAAGGCGCGACTTCTGTGGCACATATCAAATCACTCTTGCTATTAGTAGAAAGGGAATCGCTACTAGTAACAAGGGAATTACTACTAGTAGCAAGAAGCTACCAGTAACAAGGATGCATGTAGCCCAATGGTTCCACACGGCCATACATGGTGCACCTGGAGGGCCTCAATTTCAGCAGCTTGACGGCTCACGCTTTCTTCATCCATGTGTTTGGTAGCAAAGCAATTCAAAGCACACATCCAGTCATTCAGCTGTATAGGATTTGCATGGTTTTGATGAAGTGAAAGTCATCTGAGGTCTCAGAGGTGAATCTACAGCTAGCAGGCATTTTCTGGGTATATGTGGTTTGTGTGGGCAAGTTAGAAGGAGTAAGGTTTGAGTATGTGATGTCTATGTTAAAGATGTTCTGTGCCAGGCTCTGGCCAGAAATGTTGATTTTATCTATTTTTTTTATGATTTGAGTTGTGTTTTTTTTTTACGGTTATGATTTTATTTATGTTTTGTTTTATTATTTAATTTATGTTTTCATTTCAGATTATGATAGACTCTATGTAACAATGGGGCGCTGACGTGAATGACTGAGCAAAGCCAAAGCTGCAAAGGAGTTACAGTAGAATAGGAAAGAAAGAGGAAATCAACACAACGGTCAAAGGAAGAAAACGATTTCGAATCATGGAACAGCCACGCAGCATCTTGTTGCTGGAGCAACGCCGCACACACACACACTTCGCATGCGCCGCACACCTCCCAATCGCTGGGTCGGGCACCTGAAGGCCAGGTTGAGCAGCTGTAAGGGTAAGTGACGTTTCATTTCCCATGAATAAACGAGCACAGTAGCAAGCACTCTGGCCCAACCGCCCCGCTCTCTGGTGAATTTCAGTTCTGGTTTGTCGCTTCGGCGCTGCCGCGTTTTGCGTGATGCAAATGTGACTACAAGCTTTACATTCGCTGACGTTGCCTTTCAATTGTATATATATACAGATATATATATATATATATATACATTTCTGTCCAAGGTTGACTATCGTCGCTACGGTAGGCAGCACTCCCTTTTTCTCAGGTCATCTTGCCAGTATTGTCTTCAACCTGCCATCTCCAGCAGGATAATTGCTTTGGGTTACCTGCATCAGCAGGCCTGTCACAATCAGACCTTTGTGATATCCTTCCGGTCACTCCGGAAACCACTCCCCCCCTGGGGAACTTAAAAAGTGGTCTGAAAGCGGTCACTCCGCGAACACTGTGACAGATCGCAGATCCCTGCGCAAGCCCCAGGCTAGCCAGCTAGCCCTTCAAGGGTAAGAGTAACCCCACCGGGGGCCCTTACACCAGGGTGGGCTGGGTGGGAAAAGAGAGAACAAACGCTATTTTGGCCAAGGCACTTGAGCCAAAACATTCGTTGGTTCAAACCTATGGCAGTAATGAATGCATGTTCACCCAAGCCTGCCAGACCTGAAACATGTTTACATTTCTGTCCAAGGTTGACTATCGTCGCTACGGTAGGCAGCACTCCCTTTTTCTCAGGTCATCTTGCCAGTATTGTCTTCAACCTGCCATCTCCAGCAGGATAATTGCGTTGGGTTACCTGCATCAGCAGGCCTGTCACAATCAGACCTTTGTGATATCCTTCCGGTCACTCCGGAAACCACTCCAATGCACTTTAAAACATACCCAACGCACTTAGAGAAATTCCATGACACGAATCACTGCTGGAAGCGGTAGGTGCCATAGACAGAACGGGCAAGGTGAATCCGTTGGTTTGCCACCACGGATCGGACCAACCGAGCCTTGAAATTGCATCAGCCCAGTTACTTTTGGACGGAATGTATTCCCAATACATCCATGTTCGCAACATCCGTTTCTTGAATGAGGCAAACTTGAACTATGACGCTCACTCTGTGAGTTTCCTCATCAGTAACCAAACAAGCAAGTCGAATCACGTGCCCCATGAAGCATGAAGCAACCGAATCGAGCAAGTCCAAATCATAAATGAACCATGAAAACTTCATGGAGCAATAAGAGCGCTGGCCACATGGAATTAACGCTCCAAGAGAATCCCTGGAGCAACTGTGCAACATATGGGACCGCCGACCAAGTCGAGCGTGGAGTACGATGCTCAGTCCATGACTCCCCGCGTGACCAACAGTGTCAAGGAAGTCGTTAACGGGATATGTGAACGCACGCTCCCTGAAACACCTCATGAAGTAACAGCGCCAAACAAGTTGAGCTGGAAAAGTGAACGTACGCTCCATGAAACTCCTCATGAAGCAATAGCACCAACCAAGTTAAACCTGCTATACGAACGCAGCCCCAGGAGATTTCGCATGAGGCAGCAGAGCAACCCAAACTTGGTGTTGTAACGCACGCTTCATGAGACCCCCATGAAGCAGCAGCACCCCAATCCAGCGGAACTTGAGCGGACGCACGCTCCATCAGTCCCCTCGTGAAGCACCGCATCAAGTCAAAATTAAATCAGCCATGAAAGCGCTGGCCAAACTCCAAGACCCCATGAAGCAACTGTGCAAAACACAGGAGACCTCTCATGAACAAACAGCGCCGAGCTTGGACTATGATGCTGGGTCCATGAGTCCCCACTTGAACAACAACCGCAACAAACAAGTAAAGCTCGATATGTGACGCACGCTCCATGGAACACCTCATGAAGCAACAGCGCCAACCAAGTGGAAGTTGATGTGTGAATGCACGCTCCATGAAACACCTCATGAAGCAACACCAGCGACCAAGCCAAACTTGGGATGTGAACGTACGCACCATGAGGCCCTTCAAGAAGCAGCGGCGCCAGCCCAGTGGGATCTGAACTGATGCTCGCTCCATGAGTCCCCTCATAAAGCAGCCGCCCCAAACTAGTCACGTGGAATGGACCAGGAAAGCCTTCACGGAGGAACAGCGCTAGCCATATTGAATCAGCGCTCCAGGAAACGACCTGAAGCACCTGAAGCAATTGCGCAAAACACATGAGACCCCTCATGAACAAACACCGCCGACCAAGTCTAGCGTTGTGGATGCGCAGTCCATGAGTCCCGTCATGAAACAACAGTGCCAAACAAGTCAAACTTGATATGTGAGCGCACGCTCCTCCAAACACCTCATGAAGCAACAACGCCAAACAAGTCGAACTTGAAATGTGCACGCATGTTCCATGAAACGCCTCATGTGAAGCAACAGCGCGGAACAAACCAACTTGGTATTAAAAAGCACGCTTCCGAAGGCCCTAAGAAGTGACAGCGCCAACCAAGTGGAGCTGGAACTGATGCTCGCAACATGAGTCCTCTCAATGAAGTAACCGCACCAACCGAGTCAAATTGAATAACTCGAGATTGACCCGGAGGAACAGCACTGGCCAAATTGAATTAACGCTCCGAGAGAGCACTTGAAGCGACTGCGCGGATCACACGAGACCCCTCATGAAGCAACAGCAGCAACGAAGTCGAACACAGACGATGATGCTCCTTTCATGAGCCCCCTCATGCATGGAAGGACGGATCCAATCCAGTCTCCATCAGTTTGAAATTCCTCATGAACTGAGTCTGGCCATGAAATGACCGAGTCGTTCGAGGTGAACTGAACATATGAGACACCTCATGAGGCAACGGCGCCAGCCAAGTGAAACTTGGTTTATAAACGCATATTCCATGAGACCGCATGGCACTTGGGCGCCAACCAAGTCGAGCCAAAGGCTAAGCTTCAGAACGCACGCTCCATGAGACCCCTCGAGGCAACAGCGCAAACCAGGTCGAACTGGAATGATGCTCGCTCCATAAGTACCCCTCATGAAGCCACCGAGCCAATCAAGCAAAGTGTACCCTACCACGAGACCCCTCATGAGCCAACAGTGCAACCAATGTCGACATGAATTTAAGTACACAACGCACGCTCCCTGAGACCTTGCTTAAGAGGCAACAGCGCCGACCCCGCCGAGCTTGAACGATATGACGCTCCCTCCATGAGGCCCCTCATGAATCAACTGAGCAACTCAAGTCTCACGTCCATGGAGATTTCATGAGACCCCTCATGAAGCAACAGTGCCAACAAAACCGGCTTTAATTACAGAGCGCACGCTCCATGAGACCCTTCATGAGGCACAGTGAAAAAAGGTCGAACTTGACTGATGCTCGCTCCACGAGTCCCCCTCATGAAGCAGCCGAGCTAATCAACTTGAATATACCACTGCGTGAGACCCCTCATGAAGCACAGTGCAACAAGTGCGGGAATGATTTCCACAACGCACGCTCCACAAGAGGCAACAATGTAGACTATGACACTCCCTCCATGAGTCCCCTCATGAAACAACGGAGCAATAATCAAGTCCATGTGGACTCCAGGAGACCCCTCATGAAGCAACAGTGCCAACAAAGCCGACTTTAATGCCAGAGCGCACGCTCCATGAGACCCCTCATGAGGCAACAGCACAAACGAGGCCGAACTTGACTGATGCTCGCTCCACGAGTCCCCCGCGCGAAGCAACCGAGCTAATCAAGTGGGAAGTACCACACCATGAGACCCCTCATGAAGAAACAGGGCGAGGTGAATTACATGACGCGCGCTTCATGAGACCCCCTCCTGAAGCAACAGCGCCGACCCAGCCGAACTGGAAGTATAACGCGCATTCCATGAGTCCCTTCATCAAACAACTGAGCTGTAATTTCCGGTGAATACCCCACTCCATGAAACCCCTCGTGAAGCACCAGGGCAACCAGTGTGGGAAAGAATTACACGACGCACGCTCCATGAGACCCCCTCCTGAAGCGTCAGCGCCGACCAAGCCGAACTGGAACCATGACGCTCGCTCCATGAGTCCCCTCATGAAACACCGAGCTAATCAAGTCCAATTAAACTCCATGACTCCCCTCATGAAGCAACAGCGCCAACAAAACTGTTTTTAATTACGGAGCGCGTGCTCCATGAGACACCTCATGAGGCAACAGCGCAAAGAGGTCGAACTTGACTGATGCTCGCTCCACGAGTCCCCCTCAAGAAGCAGCCGAGCTAATCAAGTTGAATATACCACTCCATGAGACCCCTCATGAAGCACCAGGGCAACCAGTGTGGGAATGAATAACACGACGCACGCTTCATGAGACCCCCTCCTGAGGCTTCAGCGCCGACCAAGCCGAACTGGAACCATGACGCTCGCTCCATGAGTCCCCTCGTGAAACACCGAGCTAATCAAGTCCAATTAAACTCCACGAGTCCCCGCATGAAGCAACAGTGCCAACAAAACTGTTTTTAATTACGGAGCGCGCTCCATGAGCTTCCTCATGAGGCAACGGCGCAAAGAGGTCGAACTTGACTAACGCTCGCTCCACGAGTCCCCCTCATGAAGCAGCCGAGCTAATCAAGTTGAATATACCACTCCGTGAGACCCCTCATGAAGCCACAGTGCAACCAGTCTGGGAAAGAATTA